GGACTGTGATAAGTTACAAACCTTGGTAAAATGCAGGCTCTAGTTAAAAAGAATATATTAAGAGCATGGCCTTACCTGTGTAAGAATGTGCACACAGGCACACACACTCCTACTGTATTTGTTCAGTTCTAACACCATTGGTTTTAGATGTTATGCTCCACGGAGAAATAAAAATGCTGTCAATCAAAGACACCATTGACTGCAAGACACGGCCCCGTTTCAGAGCTTGTGGGGAAACGTGCATCTTAGCATCAGTGGAAGACGGGAGCAAGTAGGATGGGAGGTACAGAATAAAATATTAATGGTGGTCACCCTGGTTGCTTCAGTTGACGTGTGTAATTGGTATTTTTCTTCATCCTTTCTGTCTTTTCCAAAATTTCCATGATGACTTGTCATTTTGAGAACCACAGAACCAAGCAGCCTAACAGCTGGGTTGCGATGGCCTTGGTTTACACGTCTTCAGACCCGAGAGTCTGGGAAAGGATGGTCTTATGTTCTGGAAGCTGTACATTTGTAGGCAAGCTTCCAAGCTGAAGGCAATTGAGCAGCTTGTCCCCGGGGATGGCTGTCTCCACTTTATTCTTTCCCGGAACAGAGCTGCCCTTTCAGGCCACGGTGGGGTGCAGACACAGCCTCTCTCTGTCCTGGGTGCCACGGGCAGTGAGATGAGGTGGTGGCCTCAGGGAATCGGAAGCTGGCTCATCAGACAGGTGGCTCCGTCGTTGGGAGGGCTTGGCCTCCGTCATCGGCATCGTTAGGAGGGTGGTGGTGACATTTCAGAACCTCCAGCACTGTCTCCTGGAAGTCAGTGGCCTTAGAACAGTCCTGCCGCTGACAAGGCGGTGGGAAGGGGTGGGAAAGGCTGGTAAGTGTGGCCATCGTGAATACATGGCTAGGTGGGTACGAAGAGGTTAGCCTCGCTGGCTTCCAGGGTTCATTCTGCACATGCTCTCCCACAGAGCACGCACGCGGGGCCACCCTGACGGCCCCACCCAGAAGGCACGTCCATCCTCCCAGCCGCTGGGAAGCTGCACGGTAGCACTTTCGCGTGGCTCTGAGATGCGCGCTTGCTGTCCGTGTGGGCTGGTGGGCGCCTCTTGTCCTTTGCCCCTGCCACCCCTCGAGCCTGCGCCTGTGGCCCAGGCTCACCTCATTAGCAGGATTCCTCACTTACACGTGGCTGTCGCCCTTCTGGGTTAGTAGCCCCTCACTGGGACTGGCACTCTTGGGGAGCCAACCGGGCGGGGGTGGGGGTAGGCTGGAGGGGGTCAATGGGGGGAAAAAGAGGACATATGTAATACTTTCAACAATAAAGAATTATTGAAAACAAACTGGGGCAGAAGATCTAAATAGACATTTCTCCAAAGAAGATATACAGATGGCCAACAGGTACATTGAAAGATGTTACACATCATTAGTAATACTTTCAACAATAAAGATTCTTAAAAAAAGAGCGAACTGTATTTGTAAATAAATCTTTTGCACCGAGAGTCACAACAAATGGATTTCGCTAGACATACATAAAACATTTCAGAAGAGAAGTTAGCACAGGGCTGTCAGAGGGAGGTAAACATCCCGACAAATGAGATTTTTAATGGATAAATCTTTGTGCCTAACTTCCTGCAGGGGAATGAGGCTAGGATGAGAGAAGGTTTATTCCTCTAGCATATTCTAGAGAGGATATCTAGAGTGTTAAACATCTTACTGCTTTCGGAATTGATTTTCCTTTATTAGAACTCAAATATACACTGTGCTTTTAGAGTGAATGCACCGAAATGATTTCTTAAAGAAGAATAAAGAAATCTTGGCAACAAGAAAACGTTTTAGAAAAAACATACAGATTGTAATGCAAAATTAATTGCTAATCAAACCACACTGATTCAGAAGGAGGCTAAGTGTTAAGCTTTTAAAAAGTACCCCTTTTAATTAAGTCTCCCCATTTCATCTTGTCTCTTTCATTCTGTCTCAAATCTATGCCCAGCTCTCCAGGTCCTGGCTTTGCAGCCTCTCCCCCTCCCGTGGGAGCTAATAAATCTAAGCTAATGGTTTTAAAAGGTCTGGATTTCTCATTTTGCTTGCATTTGTTCATCCAAGGTCTTCTGAAATGTGTCATGTTTTAAAAACCACTTCTAGAATCCTCACTTGTGGTCCCATTGCATGTGGTGGTTAATGCGTTAGCGCACACGGTCTTCCCTAGGGAAGTAAGGACTTATTTCTGGCCTTATTTCAGTGTCTTTGAAGAAAGAGTCTGGCCCTAGCTGGTTTGGCTCACTGGATAGAGCGTTGGCCTGGGGACTGAAGGGTCCCAGGTTCGATTCCGGTCAAGGGCATGTACCTTGGTTGCAGGCACATCCCCAGTAGGGGTTGTGCAGGAGGCAGCTGATCGATGCTTCTCTCTCATCGATGTTTCTAACTCTCTATCCCTCTCCCTTTCTCTCTGTAAAAAATCAATAAAATATATTAAAAAAAAAAAAAGAAGAAAGAGTCTGATTGGCCAGCATATATCTAATCCTCTTTTTATCCTCAGCTTTTCATTTTAATCTTCCTCTTTCTTATTCCTGATTATATTTTGTGTTACGAAAGCCTCTTTTGATTGGATGTGGGCTTCAGCCTGTCTCCTTCTACTTCCTGTTCTTAAACATGGGCTCATAAGTCAGACTCGGTAATATGCAGTTCAGTTCAACTCCTTACAGCATCCTCATCCACATGGTACATTCAGGGCCGCAGGGGCCGTGTTTGCAGACCGATCGCAACTAAGTGATTATGAGGCCTTTTTGTAAACCACAGGATTTCTCTAAATGCTCAACAATAACCACAATAATGTGGCTTCAGATGAGCATTAAATGCAGGAATTATTTGTAAAACATGGAATGAGAAGCCCACTTATATCATTAATTTCTAGGTTTTACATGTGGAAGATGTTATCTTTTGTTTAATTTACCTAAAGAGACCAGGAAGCTGAGCACAGTTTATCTGATCTGAAGACTTAGATCATTCATGATATTGGGCTGCCATTGACTTGGTTGAGTGAGCCATTTTTTATTTGTTAAATGAGGGAGCTGAATAAACGAATGGCTTCCAGATTGTGCCCAAGCTCCGGCAGTTGATGGAGAGGACTTGGAGAGAGCCCAGGCCATCTCCCAGCATAGCTCGGCTTTCGGCTCTCACATGCTGGGTTCCCTCCATTTTACCTGAAAAGGCATTTACTCTATAGCCCTTTAAAAAAGAGTCTCAAAACCTGCTCTCTCCCAAGGTGTTTGGGTTCTGTGAGCCAGTAAGATTTCCATAATTCCAGGTTGGCCAGGGTGGGGGAGGGAGTCGCTGCCAAGTGTTTGCCAAATGTAAGGGCATGAAAGGAGCTGAATCCCGTATACTACCACTGTAATTGCAACACCAAAGAAGGGAGGCAGGCTGTCATCTCAACGAAAACCTAAATCAGACAAACAAATAAAATCAGGTCTTTAGACCAAACAACTGTAGGGCTGTGAATACTCAACACCCTCTTGTTCTGGTGGAGCAGGGCCAGCCCCGGGATGAGGGAGAGGCTGCTCAGAGCAGGTGTTCATCAAAAACCAGCCCTGAATAATGCTCATTTCTCAGTGGGGACTAAAGAGGGCTTGCTGGGTTATTCTCAAGATGTTGATTTCATTTGGTTTCTTTTTAAATTGCTTTCATTTTTAAAAAAATTTCATAAATTTGGCAAGGCATTAAGCAGGAGGGTTTTTCTCTCTCCCATAATTAGCATATCAAAATATTCCCATTTCATTCTAGTTCAATCTTTTGTCCTCTCTGAGATCTGAATATTTTAAGCAAAGCACCTCCACAAGAAGTCTCCCAGCCTAGCCCTAGACAATGCAACCTAGAGGAAAACTCACCCAGAGGGCTTATCAGCAAGGCTCAGCAATGCAGGGGACGGAGAGGCGTCAGGTGCTGTCATAGGTTTTATTTTTATTTTATTTATTTATTTTTTGTTAATCCTCACCTGAGGATATTTTTCCATTGATTTTTAGAGAGAATGGAAGGAAGGGGGAGAGACAGAGAGAGAGAACGTTAATGTGAAAGAGACACATCAGTTGGTTGCCTCCCACATGCGTCCCAATCGGGGCTGGGGACTGAGCCTGCAACTGAGGTACATGTCCTTGACCAGAATTGAACCTCCACCCCTTCAGTCCTCAGGCCTGCCCGACGCTCTATCCATTGAGCCAAATTGGCCAGGGCAAGGGGTTTTATTTTATTTTTTAAATCTTTTTGCATGTGCATGTATCCTCAGGTCCTACAATAAACACTCCCCATCCCGCCCAGGATGTGAATCATCCCTTTTGTCCAATGCTGTATACGCTACCTGCCCGCTAGTCACTTAGCCGGCTCAGTTACCAGAGGAAATCTTGCTCAGTCACTCCCCATCCCGCCTAGGATGTGAATCATCCCTTTTGTCCAACGCTGTATACACTACCTGCCCGCTAGTCACTTAGCCGGCTCAGTTACCAGAGAGGCCCACATTCATACAACTTTTATTGTTAAAATTGTTCTATTTTAATATTAGTTATTGTTGTTAGTCTCTTCCTATGCTGATTTATTAACTAAACTTTATCATAGGAATGTACACATAGGAAAAACCATAGTATATATTGGGTTCTGCACCATCTGCGGTTTCAGGCATCTACTGGGGTCTTGGATCGCATGCCCCATGGATAAGGGGGAGTGACTATATTTAACCTTCATGTGGGGGCTCTGGCACATCCTGCTTTGCATATGCCCAGGCCCCCAATGAATAGAGACATTGGCCAGACCCATCGCATGAAACAGTCCTGATGAGCAAGTGCCTCTGCTTCTCACCTCTGTTGGGCCCCTCTGATTGGCAGACGAACAAGAAGAGGCCTAATTCCTGTGCCTCCCCCCATGTCTCCCCCTTTCCCCCCCAGTCCTTCCTCAGCAAGCCCCGAATCATTCACTTTCCCAAACCTGTGCATCTCGCTCTCCGTTCTCTCTCATCCCTACAGGCCATGCGGGACGCGTTGGCAGACCTCCCGGAGTGGTATGGAATCAAAGGCATGCAGGCCCACTGGATCGGGGACTGTGTGGGCTGCCACCTGGACTTCACCTTAAAGGTGAGCGGCGGAGCCTTCCCAGCAGTCAGTGCTGGCCAGGCGCTCTGCTCTGTTGCAACCCCTTGACCAGCCCAGCACCTGGGGCTCCACGGTAGCGTGTCCAGCAGAAAGAGCACGAGTCCTACCCATAATTTCAAATTTCCCAGTAGCCACAACCTTTACAGTGCAAAGAAACAGGTGAAATTAATTTCAATAGCATGTTCTATTCAACCCATTCTATTCAAAATGTTACTGTTTCAAGATGTGAGAAATTTAAAAAAATATATTAAGTGTTTAGCTATTGTTAACACTCCTGTTTCAGTACAAAGTCTTCGAATCCTGCTGTTGTCCTCTTACGGCACCTACATTTCAAGTGCTCGCGGCTGCACGTAGCTCTGGCTACCACGTTGGACAGCACAGATCTAGAGGGTGTTCTGTTGGGTCCATGAACTCCCTGAAATTAAGTGCAGAATGTGTGTGTGGGCACTTCCTAAGCAGCCGGTCCACAGCTCTCACTGTATCCTCAAGGGGGTTCATGTCCCAAAACAGGGAGCCGAGGCTAACGAACGCATGTACTACACAGACGTGAAGCTGTTAGGGTCTGGGCTTCCGCAGGGTCCACAAGAGGGGACCTTCCGAAGGTCACTGCCGAAGGCGCACCTGCTCTGGAAGGTCCCCTCAAACTGTCCTCTTTGTCTCTGCTGGCTGGAAAGTTGTTCTGTTGCCATTTCCTGCCTGGGTGTTCTTTTTTATCCTTCTGATGTCGCCTCCTCCATCAAAACCTGTCTGCCCAGTTCATTTAGCTCCAAACCCTTCCCTCACCTCAGTCCAATCAAAACCTTAGAGGGGGCAGCAGCCGGGAGACAGAGTTGACCCACCTTTCCAGGCTCCTTCCTCCTGACAGCCCTGGCTGGTGTCCACTGACCACCCGCTGCCTGTCGCTGAGCTCACCATTCCCATGCCATGTCCTCACCCACGTGACCAGCTCACTCCGGCCTCAGACCTGGGAGCCCTATTCAGACAGAGGGTGTGTGCTTTAAAACCTTTGAAAAATCAGACCCTGATATGGGCGTTTCCTTCCACTGCTTTTCCGAGCAAGTGGTGAAATTTCCAGCTATGACGGCATCTCTCTCAGCATGCTCTGACCATCTTCAATCCGGGCCCAAGTGGGCCTGCTGGTGGGCACCAGGCAGGGCTTCTGAAGGAGGAGCTGTGATCCTCCTCTTCCACCCTCCTCTGCCCCTGCCGGGTCCATCTCTGACCCCCTGTCCCTGGGGCTGTGGCCAGAAGCTGGCCCCACTATTTGCGGTTGAAGGGGTGGGGAGAAGGGGATGAGGTTGGGGAGCACAGTAGTCCAGAGGGAGGACTGAGAAGGGAATGACTACTCTGCTCTCCCCCTGGCAGGTGGACGGGCAAGTCACAGGAGAGAAGCTGACCGCCTACACGGCCACCCCCGAGGCCATTTATGGCGCGTCCCACGTTGCTGTCACTCCCGGCCACAGGCTCTTACACGGGCACAGCCCTCTGAAGGAAGCCTTGCGGAAGGCACTGGTCCCTGGCAGAGGTGAGTTGACAAGTTGAGGCTAAGATGGAGGAGGATCATGTCTTATATTATGCCTCATGGCGTTTCAAAGTTCACTGTCTTTCACATGTCTTCTTGTGGGATTTGTCTTCACCTCAGCCTGACTTCTTAGTTTTTTATTTTAAGGCATGAGGATTACAAAAGAGCTTTGAACATGTGAAGTTTCCCCCCTGGCTTCACTTTGAGCTACTAGATTGTATGCTTCTTGAGTTTCTGTCGGGAAGCTCAACACTTTCCCTTTAAATAGAATCTGGATCTACAGCTCTTTTCTGATAGGAATAGAATCTTCTGCTTCATTAATAATTCCGTCATCAAATAAAACTGTACGCACAGGGGCAGGAAGGAAGCCACAGAACTGGAGGCAACATTTTCAACAACTTAATTTTATTACTTTAACAGATTCACATAGTAATCTGAGCAGATGAGCAGAGTCCTGCTCAGCAGAGCTCTTGAGTGACTCGACCGAGCGGACCTGCAGTTGGCATAGTGAATGTGCTTGGTCAGTGAGGATTTGGGGAGTGCCACTGCGTTGGGGCCTGTGGCTGCCAGCCAGCAGCCGCCTCTGGCTAACCCAGGGGGAGAGGGGAGCCTCCTGGAGGCTGTGGGGAGCTTGCTGACCGGAGGAACCCCTGGAGAACCAGTCTGGAAGAGGACTTGGACCGGCAGCCCTGGGAGCTTGTGCAGCAGGAATTAGTTCTGTCTCTTGAACTGCGGGAATCTTCGGGCCCTCGCCCTCAGGGCTTGAGGCACGTGGTTCAGGACTCCTGCTGCAGGGAAAGGTGTCTGATCAGTATCACGGGGGTCCCTGGCCTTTTTCGTGGCCAAGGGAAGGCCAGGGACCTTCCCTGATAAACCACCAAGACCACGCAGTGAGGAAGGTGGGGTCTGCAAAACAAACTCAGAGGCTCTTCCCAGAGGAAGGGGAGATGGATCCTGGCCGGCGGAGGGATGGATCAGAAGGAGGTCTCTGGAGAAATGTAAATATTTCTGTAAAAATATTTCTAGAGTAGCAACTGCAACACACACAATCACTGGGATCTATTTGACTTATTTAACTAAAGTTTTGGACGGTGATACAAAGCTTTTATATTTTATTTTTTATATTTTTATTGATTTTTTACAGAGAGGAAGGGAGAGGGAGAGAGAGTTAGAAACATCGATGAGAGAGAAACATCGATCAGCTGCCTCCTGCACGCCCCCTACTGGGGATGTGCCCGCAACCCAGGTACATGCCCTTGACCGGGAATTGAACCTGGGACCCTTCAGTCTGCAGGCCAAATCTCTATCCACTGAGCCACACCGGTCAGGCTCAAAGCTTTTATATTTTAATTGCTCTTCTTAAGGTAACCAGAATGAAAGACTTCCTGACATCAGGTTGGAAGGATAGACAATGTCATCCCAGCTCAGATTTCCTGATCGTTTACGTACAGCCTTAGAGCCAGGGTGCAAGGCAGGGACCACTGACCAAGAGCCCGCCACACGCCAGGCACTCGGGGACACAGAGATGACCGTTCACAGAGGTCATGGTGGAGGCGGCCAGATGCATGTGTCGTCCACTCTGGCACAAGACACAGATAACTCGGTCTCATCTCTTTTGCTGTTTTATATTGAAATCGAGAAATGACTCTCTTGAGTTGAAATTTCAATGTGTGCTCATAAAGTCCAATGTCCCTATCTCTCTTTTATTTTTCTATTCAAAAAAATTGGGACCCTTTCAACTGTTCACTTTCAAAGGAAAACTCATAATTTTACTTCTAGAGCATTTTGAGGTTCCTCGGGGCCATGGTGGTTGAATAATACCTAATATTGAAAAACTGAACAATGTAAACATCTAGCCCTTAGGTTTGTTTTCTTCTGGTTTATTTGGGGACACAGATTAAAAGGAGGTGATATTAATAGGGGATCTGTGAGCTGGCAAGGATTCCAGAAAAGGAATCCTGACATGAAGAGCACTACGTACATTGAAAACATTTTCATGTGGAAGAAGTTATAGTAGCAAATGCAGAGAGCAGCATATTTGTGATCATTTGGGAATCAATGCGTCCGATTGTTTCATTTTGGCACCGAATGACTCGTTAGGTTCGTTCCCCCCTCTTTCTAATAATCCCTGAAATAATTCCAACTGGAACATTGCACTTGGCTCTGAATTTTCCAGTTCTCATTTTCAGAGTGGAGTTATTCTTTATGCAGATATCAGTTTATTCAAAGTCCCTAGGTTAATTTGCACCTGCTGTGGCGTTCGTCACTTAAGGCCAAATTGCTTGGAGTAGGATGCAATTTTCCCAAAAGGTGAATTCAAATGATTGTGTGAATATGGCTCTAGGCCTCCCTTGGCCTTTGAGGCTACACCTTAAACCTGAACGTTGCCATTTGCCATCACCAACTGGCTCCGGTCGCCAGGCGGCTCAGTTTTTCCTCGGATGTCAGGTTTTGCGGGTTCCGAGTGCTAGCGAGGCGACCACTGAAAGTCATGGCAGCTCACGGTTGTGACTGGCTCTGAGGAAGGGGGTGACACACCTGGACAGGGTGGTGCTGGGCTGGCAGAGTGGAGGCAGCAGTGCCAGCTTCCCCATCCGCTAAGAGCAGGTGAAGACCGGGTAACAGTGGTCATCAGCATGGGGGGCGGGGCAGAACAGCTCTGGGAGCTACTGGAAGGTGGCAAAGTCAGACACAGCTTTCTGATTTCTGACTTGGGTTGCTGATGTTATTGATTATTGACTAACTGGGCTGTTTGGCACAGATTCCTTTAAGAAGGCAAAAAAGTGAGGTCCCTCCCTATAGAGTTCTTACAGCCGAGTTTGCTGACCACCTCTGACTGAGTCATGTTACATGAGCCCTGACTTAATGGGAACTAGGAACCATGAAAAGCATCATGCAACAGACGGACATATTTCGGGGGTGGGGGGAAGTGGATAGAGATGAACCAAAGAACTTGTATGCAGATATGCATAACCCATGGACAGACAATAGTACAGTGAAGGGGGGGTGGGGGGGGCAGGAGTAGGGTCAGAGGGGGTCAGTGGGGGAAAAGGGACATCTGTAATACTTTCAACAATAAAGATAAGTTTTTTTAAAAAGCATCAGGAGGGAACTACGGGCAGCGTTCTAGAAGCTGTCCTGGCTTCTGGACGCTTTCCCTACATTCCTAATATTAAATTATTCAGACCCCGGGGCTTCGGAACCACACATTCCAGCTCTGAGTCACCAGTGGCCTGCACAACGCAGGCTTTTGCCAAGAGGGTAAATGAGGTCTCCCTCAAGGGCTGTTACTGACGCAGAGCCCCAGAATGCTGAATAATTAATTGCTCACTGTCGTCTAACTCCTCCCTCCACAGCGGCAGCATGGGGTTGGTTTGCTCTTTAACCAAACTGTCTCTGCTAGCTTCCGGGAGGTGGCAGGGAGGGGAGAGCTGCTGTGCTCACACACCCTGCAATAAACGAAGTCACCAGGTTCCTTTGCCCTGGACCTCTCGGAAGCTCTGCTGTGCTGATGTGCGCGGCAAGGGCCTCAGAGAGGAAGCCCTGGTCACACTAGTGGCCACAGACCCCGCCTCCACAGACTGCCCCTGGGGATCCCTGCGCGGGCACCCCCTGCTCTGCTGGACACTGGAAGCATGAGGGAGTGAAGGACCTGCCCTAAGCAGAGGGCACCCTTCTGCCCGGAATGTTCCCTCTGTAATCACTAGTGTCACATCACCTACCTGCCTACCTGCCGTGGGCCGCGCCTCAGTTGCTTTGGGTCTCTCCATGATTTCCTTGCCTTCCTGCTTCACGCCACCAGCACAGGATTGAGGAGAAATACGGGAAAACTAGACCTGATCAAGAACTTCAGACTTGAGTTTTGTTCTTTTGAAGAAACAGATTTTGACCAGGAGTGGCACGCATGCAGGTTACTGCTGTGTAATCCTTGCATATCTGCTGACATTTAAGTTTAAAGACCAATTGTTTTTCTCATTGAAAAACTATCATAACAGAATTTTTATGTAGAAGGTGAAAAAAATCCAACCATTTAATAAAGAAGCTCAAGTGAACTCACTACTTGAGTTCCTCCTCTCGCCCCTTCTTCCTTTGGGTCTTTATTCGTGTTTCCAGTCCCATGTGTATGCAGTGAAGGTTGGTGTGCGTGTGGCTTGTCGCCCTGCTGCAGCGGTTGTAACCAGCTTCCTTTAAGACAGATAGTTTCAAATGAAGTGCTTGATAATGACCACATGAATATCTTCGCAGCTGAGCCAAGGATACTATGATTACATTTTCCTTTTTATATAACTTTCTGTTTTTCCTGAAGTTCACTATGTTCTCATTTTATTCATTTGCTTTGTGTTCTTTGAATGTCTAAGGCTTCCCACACTCTCCCAGAAGCTCTTTAAAACTCCTCTCAGTACAGTTTTCTGCATGTTCCAACCTGTATTGGTTCCCCCTCTACCCTGAAGAGGCTGCCTGGGGCCCTATGTCCCGCTCACTTGTGACTGGTCGCCCTCCGGGCCTCTGCTGCACCCTGTCCTCCTAGGACTTCCCTCTGCCTTCGTTCTGCAAATAAACTACCTCTTTCCTTCTTGGGATCAGCTGTTTCCTGGATCCCAGGTCTGTCCTTTTCGTGACTGACCCCTTCATGTTGCTGAAGGGGAATGTGGGAAGAAACTTGTCTTTGTGCGTCTGGAACTCTCTCTGCTCAGTCATTCTCTGCTCTCTGGCCCACTCCATCTTCACGTGCGATGGTTTGGAATTCCAGACGTCTCCTAGTTTTACCACAGGTAGATTTCTGCGTTGCTCATTCAACAGTATATTGGGGTGTTTTTCAAAAGGAAAAGGGGGGTGATGGGAGCATCTTTTCTCCTCCATGTGGAAAGTAAAAATGCCATTTTCACTTCTTTGGTTATGAGCATGGATGAACATTTTCATGTATTTGTTTAGTCTTTTGATTCCCGCTGGTGTGAATTATCCATTAAAACCTTCAAAGAAGAAATTCTTGGGACAATTAGCACAAAACAGGGACGTTCTAAGGCTTATTTTTCTCGCCTGTCTCCCCTGAGCTCCAGGCGGCCCTCTGACTGTACCCACAGTTCTCCACTCTCATTTTCAGATTGCCTCACGCCCGTGACTGCTGTGAACATGCTCACCCAGCAGGAGGTCCCTGTCGTCATCGTGGCCGACGCTGAATTTGAGGGCTCTCTGGATTCAAAAATAGGTAAGTAGCTATTAAAATGTAGTTGGGGTCATGTATTATCAGGCTTAAAATAAAAATACTGAGACTGTCAAATCCCAGAGGGAAGATGGGAGAGGATGGGTGGGTGGGAAGTGATTAACCAGAGAACTTGTATGCATATATGCATAACCCATGGACACAGACAATAGTGTGGTGAAGGCCTGGTGGGGTGGGGGCAAGGGCAGGCTAGAAGGGGTCAATGGAGGGGGGTGGAAGGGGACATATGTAATACTTTCAACGATAAAGATTTAAAATTCTAACCTGTTGCCGTCAAATGAAAGAGCTGACTGTTGGTGCCATAATCCGTTTTGCCTCTTTGTAGAAGTGAATGCCCCCCCCCTTCATTTAATCACCCTTATTTAAGAACCACATTTTGAAAACATCAGGTATATCGCACCTTGCTAGTTGCTATTGAGAATAATCAGAGCTGTCTGGCCCGAGGATCTTTCCAGCAGAGCTAGTTGGTGAGACGTGTACCTACAACGTGGGGAACAGAACAGCTCGGGCGAAAATCCCATCTCAGGTCTCAGAACGCATGGCAGCTTCCGAGATGGGGTTCCACACACAAACCATCCACGCGGGCTGGGGTTTTGGTGAGGGCTTTGAGGAGAGGGGAGCTTGAGCCGTTCAAGAAAAGGATCATGAAACAGCAGCACAATGGAAGGCATATTTAGAATGGTAAGATGGGTATCCTGGTCAGCCTTACTCATCGTGAGCATTCTGGTTTTTTTTGTTTTGTTTTTATTATGTTTTGATTGATTTTTTAGAGAGAGAAGAAGGGAGAGGGAGGGATAGAAACATCGATGAGAGAGAAACATGGATCAATCGGCTGCCTCCTGCACGCCCCCTACTGGGGATTGAGCCTGCAACCCGGGCATGTGCCCTGACCAGGAATCAAACCGGTGACTTTTTGGTTCAGGGGTTGACACCCAACCACTGAGCCACAGTGGCCCAGCCATGAGGGTTCTAAACGATCGCATCCAACAGGAAGTCTTGGGAGGAACCAAGGACACGGCCTCAGACAGTCCACCCGAGGGCTGCCCTCACGCCTCTTTCCACGTCCCTATTGTAGTTGGGCTGGTCTCCGGAGTGCCAGACCCTGCAGAGAAAGCTATTTCACTCTGTTTCCTGGCACACAGAGAAAATAGCATTTCTTATCAAATCATGTTTTTCCGCACAGTTCTCAGATTCCTTTCTGACAAAGTGACTTGAAGAAACACCCACACAGAACACAGCTATTAAGCCGTTCAGGGCATTCTCTTCTGACAGCTGAAGCCTAGAAAACGTGTTAAAGGAAATATCTCCTCCTTTTATGAGTTTTATCATTAGTAAAATTCATTAAGACAACTGGCCACGATAAACAATAACGGCAGCGCTTGCTGCATGGCTTTTTTTTTTTTTTGTATTCTGAGTCAAAGTACTCACATAAATTGAGTGTCTGAAAGAAAAAACATCTGATATTTTAGGTCTGTTGGGGAAATCATTTCTCCTGTGTTGTCTTGATTTCCCACAGTTACATAACTAACATTTTCTGAGTTATTGCCTCTTGCCCTCCAAGAACTGAAACAGAAATCCAACAAGAGATGAAGCGGTAATTTTGCCGTCTCACCTGCATTTCACAAACAGTGCCGTGTCCTGAGCCCACGTGGCCAGCACCATGGCCAGCACCCCGGCCCGGCGCATTCTTCACGTGGTCAGATACATTCCCTGGCACAGCACCTGCACGCGAGCCTTGCTCCAGCCGCTCCAGCCCGCACACGTGGGATAATGACTCTTCCCTTCTTGCTCGCCGTGTGTCCTCACCCGCCAGGAGCTTTCAGGTCCAGTGTGAACGTTCATTTGCTTTAGGAGGTGCTGTCTGTCAGTAATCTCATCTGGAACAGGAGCCACGGAGCTTCCATCTCACCACGGAGCTTGCGAGCGAGTCTCCCGAACATGACTTCACCCTTGTAGGCCAGGGCTCGGAGAGGCCGTTCTGGAAATCTGACCTGAGTGTTTGGTGTGTTTCCCGTAGCTTTGTCTCATTTGCTACGAGATGTGTTGGGCCCACGAGGATGTCGGCAGTTGTGACCGTTGTCCCTACAGCAGGAGTTCTCAGCCAGGGGACATTTGGCCACCAGGGGACACCTGGCAATTGTAGGGACATTTTTTTGTTTGTCACACCTGGGGCAGTGCTGCTGGTAGAGGCCAGGGATGCTGCTCCCACCAGCCCTCCACAATCAGCTGAAATACCTGTTTTTATGAACCGCTGACGCCCAAACAGCAGGCCATGGCCCTCTGGAGGGGTGATTAACTCATGCCGACTCCATCTCCTCAGGAGTGTGTGGGTTGAAGAATAAATGTCTATTCACAATGTGCTCTTGCCTCTGGGAACGGAGGAGTATGAAAAAACAGTTCCAGCTTCCGGCTCCTGGCTGCGTGGATTTCTCCAGGTGCCGGGCAAAGCGGGAGGAGTCAGCCTGCCTCTCTGAGAGCACACTGTCCTCTGTCACCGAGAGGGTTCAGCGAAGAGCCCCCTCTCCCCCGCCGACTTGTGACTTACTGTTTCAGTGGCAAAAAGCACCCCAAGTTGTATATTTTTAAAGTATATTTTTTATTTACTTCAGAGAGAAGAAGGAAGGAGAGAGAGATAGAAACATCAGTGATGAGAGGGAATCATTGATTGGCTGCCTCCTGCACGCCCCCCACTGGGGATGGAGCCGCAACCCGGGCATGTGCCTGACTGGGAATCATACCGTGACCTTCTGCTCATAGGTCGATGCTCAACCACTGAGCCACGCTGGCCAGGCCCAGGTTGTATATTTTAGAATTACAACTATTTATGAAACAAAACTAAGCAAAGGAAGAAGACTAAAAGGAAACAGTGCCGAGATGGTGGCCGGGTTGCTAGGGCGGTGGGTTTCTCCAAGATGGTGCCCCTTTCTCCAGCGAGTGTGGGAGCTTCTGTAGCTTCTGTAATGAAAAGAGGCAGCGTCTCCCTGAAGAAGCTGAAGCCGTGTCAGTGCTGTTGATTGTTTTGTGGTTTGGGCATTTGCAAAGGAGACGTTTTGTGTCCTTTCTTCCCCTCTCCACAGGCATTCCCTGCACCAGCTCAGAGGACACCGTCACAGCCCAAACCCTGGGCCTGTCCTACTCCGAAGTCATCGAGACGTTGCCAGACGGCACGGAGAGGCTGAGCGGCTCCGCTGAGGTGGGTGCCTGTGGCCTGGGCCTGAGGACTGACTTCTAACTTCGTGACCTTGACACGAGTCTGAGGCGACAGTTGCCTTTGGTGCCAAGTACAGCCCGCCGCTTCACTCATCCCCCCACCAACAGTCTTGCAGCCTCCTTTCTTAAGCTGTGAAAACAAAATGATATTCTTTTTCAAGGTCTAGAGGTTTATCTACTCTAAGTCGAACCCAATTCTACAATAGTATGGTTATCACAGTAACAAGACTTCGTGTCGGGACTCTGCTGCGTGAAAAAAAATGACCTCTTCCAGGAAATTGCTTTTGCTCATGAGCTTCTGGAATGTAAAAACAGTGATGCGTGGAGATAGACTTTCTTTTTTTTGTTTGTTTTTAGACAGAGGGGGGCGGGGGAGAGAGAGAGAAACATCAATTTGTTGTTCCACTTATTTGTGCATTCATTGGTTGCTTCTTGTAGGTGCCCTGACCAGGGATCAAACCCACAGCCGTGGCATGCCGGTAGGATGCTCTAACCAGCTGAGCCACCCGGCCGGGGAGGAAGGTAGACTTCCTGAGCATGTGCACCCCAGTCATGTATGACAGTGGAGTGGGAGTAGGAGACATGGAGGATGCCTCCCAGAGTGGACTGGGTCCTGGGGGAGAGCTCTGTACTCCAGGGGACACTTGCCGCCCTCCCTGGAAGGAGCTGCCCTTGACCAACATGGCTGTACTCCCTTATTCCTTTGCCTCGTGACCGTGAGCTGCTCGAGGGCAGACAGATCGGACCTATCTGGGTGCCCCCAGTGCCGAGCACAGGCCTATCCGATTCCAGGGCACCCACAGGGCCGGTTCTCCTCATTCCTTTCCTTCTCTGAAAGGCGTCAGGTGAAAGAGAGTTCGTCTTTTCTGCTGTCCGGGCTCTGCCCTGTGTCTACAAAATGGAAACGTTTAGGTACAAAAGGTGCTTCTGGTTCTCCAAGCTGGGCCCATCCCTTCCCTGCTTGGCTGCACTCCTGCTTTGGGGCCATACTGCATTTTTCTCTCCTGAACGCCTTTTCCCCCAACAGAGGAGCAGTCATTACAAAAGCATGTGATGCCGTTCTTGACCGGCAGCTGCGTGCTGGTGTGTGATGATCTCGGCAGGGGGTGCCCGGGGAGGCCCGGAGCCAGGGCCACTTACCCATCAGATGGCCCCGTGGATGCAGCCTAGGGCCCCCCAAAGGTTTTCTTTTAAAATCAGAAGAAAAAAAGTGAACTTTTAGGGTAAAAATTATATTTATTTTTATTCCACACAGTCATAAAATACAATTTTTTGGTATGATCTTCGGGAGGAAGGGGCCCACAAGGGCAAAGGCACCAGGGCTCACAAAGGTCATAGTGCACAGAGCCCACAGAAACCCGGCAGCCCTGGTGGTGGCACAGGCGGTGCTTGTTCTTCATATATATACGTGTGTGTGTGTGTGTGTGTGTGTGTTCATTTCAGAGAGGAAGGGAGAGGGAAAGAGAGAGAGAAACATCAATGATGAGAGAGAATCACTGATCGGCTGCCTCCTGCACGCCCCACACTGGGGATCGAGCCCCCATCCCGAGCATGTGCTCTGACCAGGAATTCGAACCGTGACCTCCTGGTTCATAGCTCGACACTCAACCACTGAGCCATGCCAGTCGGGCACGATGCTTGTTCTTGCACAGGGAGGAACGGACCCCTTCTTTTCCTCTCAGTTCACAGGAATGAGCCGGCAGGATGCGTTTCTCGCCCTGACTGAGAAAGCCCGGAGGAAGGGAGTGGGTGGAGATGTGACGAGTGGTAAACTGAAGGACTGGCTGATCTCCAGGCAGCGGTACTGGGGCACCCCGATCCCCATGGTCCACTGCCCGGCCTGTGGCCCCGTGCCCGTGCCGCTGGAGGACCTGCCCGTGACCTTGCCCAGCATCACATCTTTCACTGGCAAGGGAGGCTCCCCACTGGCCACAGCGTCGGAGTGGGTGAACTGCCCCTGCCCCAGGTAAGCAACCACGTCCCCCAGCTGAGACTGACTATGGTCCCAGCGCCCTGCTGGGGTTTCAGACTCCCTTTTCTCTGGGGCTAACTCTGCTCCCTTCTGGGACTCCCACTGGACTGGTAGAATACCGTAGGTCTTTTGGGACCTTTAAAAAAAAATTATTGACATCAGAGAGGAAGGGAAAGGGAGAGAGAGATAGAAACATCAATGATGAGAGAGAATCATTGACTGGCTGCCTCCTGCACGCCCCCCACTGGGGATCGAGCCCGCAACCTGGGCATGTGCCCTTGACCAGAATCGAACCAGGGACCCTTCAGTCCGCAGGCCGACACTCTATCCACTGAGCCAAGCCGGTAGGGACTTTTGGGACCTTTGAGAGAAGGGGCTGGAGTCTGGGCCCAGCCGCAGGGATGGGGGAGAGTCATGTCCATCCACGTCTTCCCCAGAAGCATCTGGTCCAGCTGATGGAAAAGCTGCCCATGGTCTTTGTAGGGTTGCAAAGGCCCAGTCTCTTTCATTTACATCCCAAAGAGCTTCTGCAGATGAGAGGAAGTGGTTTCCCACCCAGTGACTGACCACGGGGAGATTTTATCGCCAGGAGCCGAGGAGAGGCTACGGCAGCCACCCTGCTCAGGGTTCGCGCTCTGCGGTACTGAACCCTGCCCCTTTCCCTTCTCCTCATTCTGCAAGTGGGACTGTGTTTTTCTGTCAGCTCACTGGCCTATCTCAAGTGTAATTGTGATGATGCCTTATCAGCTCATTACGTAAACAAATAATCGATACCAAGTTCCAGTGTTTTCCTTCTTCCTTCTGTGGAAAAGCCCTTTTTCTTTTTCTTTTTTTTTTAGAGAAATCACGACCAGAGTGTTTTTGAAATAACCTAGTCCTCTGCCAGCACAGAGCTGAGTTACAAGGTTGATAATTAGGCAACCACGTTCCAGGCCTGGGAGTCACACAGTAATAGATTCCAGTCTGGCTGTGTGGCCTTGGGAACGTCCTTTGACTTCTCTGAGCTTTGATTTCTTTATCAGGAACTAAAATAATCCCCCTGAAGGGCTGTTCAGAGGGGCTGTTCGCGGTGGCACCTACATTCAATAAATAGAAGTGTTGTCACCATATTCCCATCCACCCAGCCCGCAGTCCTCCGAGGGCCCCACACGGGCAGCCTGGAGACGTGAGAGGGGCTTGTGGGAAGGAGCGTAGGAAGCTTTGGACCATTTAGGGGTAGAAGCGTGGGCATGGGAGGAAATTAGTGCACCCTCTTTGTTGGTGAGTAGTGACAAAGGTCTTTTATTCTGGGAAGCGGGTGGTCCTTAGGGCTCATTCACCGAAGTCAGGGCCTCATTGTCAGGAATGAGGTTTCTGGCCTGGAGGCAGGTTCCTGGAGGGCAGAGCCAGGCCTTGGTATTGGACAAGGCTCCCCGGTGGTTCTGCTGAGCACCAGGGCTGAGAGGGCCAGCGTGGCCAAGCGGGCAGCGCGGTGGTGAGGACCGCAGGCAGCAGAGCCCAACAGACGTGGCGTCCTTACCCCTGAGCTCCGAGACCTTGGGAGGATTTCCTAACCTCTCTGAGCCCTAGTTATTTACTCATCTGCAAAATGGGGCCGTGAGTAGTATCTGCCTCATAGCCCCCAGGGTTACTGGGGATCAAGTGGGATCCTGCCTGTGAGCAGGGTCAGGGCCTGCTACCCAGTGTTAGTGTTATCACTGTTGGAGCTAATCATGATGATGTCACTGTCGTCTGTCCCTCCCACTTAGTCAGGAAAACGTGTTGCTTGTCTATGCATCCAGCATGACCACTGAAAAGGAAACCAGCGCAGCCTCAGGTCACTCCTTTTCCCAGCTGAATCCTGCGTTTTCCTCCCGCCTTGTAGGGCACTAATGGTGAGGGAGACGAAGTAACCTGTGTCTCCCAACTGTTTCCCGAAATGGTCTCTGTGTTCAGCCGATTGCTCTCCAAATAAAAAGGCCTGGCGCTACCTTAGAGACGCACTGTTGAGTTGGTGTCTTAGGGCAGCACGGGGTTATGGGAAGCAGGATTCCCGGGGTCTCTATGATAAGCTCCTACCCGCAGGGGCCACCACTGTTCTCAGTGGGAGCCCCCTGGTTAAAATGCAGGAGGTCCCTGGGGGGTCCCCCGAGAGACACCCCAATATCTGAGGCTCCTGTCTCTGCTCAGCCACTTCCATTTAACAAGTGGAAGGTGGGAGTGGCTGTTTCCCTCGGTAATATGGTAATATTTGTAAAACAGGTATGAACTGCTTCACAGATGCGAGATATGAATGCAACCTTTCTTTTATTTAAAGATTAAAAACAGACTCGAGCCCTTGCATGACAAATTAGCAGAAGTTTTATCGCTTCTTCCTGGGGCTCCTCATGCCTTTCCTTGTCCTCCAAGAACCCCCAAGGACATAGACTGCCCACAGCAGCATCGGAGGGATGGTTGGCCCTGCTTCTGTGCCTCAAAAGGGAGAGTGTGGAGTCCTGGCCGTGTCCTCCCCCTCCCCTGTGGCTTTTCACTGTTAACAGCTGACTCACCCGATCCACAGCTGGTCCAGGCCTAGTGGGTCCTCAAGGGAGCTGAGCCCCTCCTAGGCGAGGCGTGACTAAGGGCACCCTCTCCTGGGTCCCTGGAAGATGTGGCTTTGGCACCAGTTCCTTCCCTCCCCAGGCCCAGCGCCCTGGGAACGTGCTTCACAGTTGGCTCCGCAGCTGGGCCCTGGTGGAACCTCCGTCCCCGGCATCTTCATCCCTAGAGCGAGGGTAGCTTTTTCTTTTCAGCCCTCACTCACCAGTGTCTGCATTGATTTTCTTGAACAGCAGGTCTGTCTTCACCCTCCTGTTAGGAGCCCGTGTTTAGGCAGCGGATGTGGGTAAATGTGTACTAAGTAGCCCTCTGGAGGGGCTTCCGGTTTGCAGGGCTTCGGATTCTGTGGTGTAGGCACTCCCACCCAGGGCTGACTTCAGGCTCCCCCCTCGACCACTTGTTGCACAGCTGGGAGGAGGCGCTCACGGCTGCTTCTCGCCAGCTGGTTTGAGGGTGCTGCGGTGGTCTCTGCCTTTGGGCTTCAAGGTGATTCATTTTCCAGGGTCACCCAGGAGGCTTCTGCATCCTGCCCCCTAGAGCAAATGTTTTTAAGTAAGTTCATTAAGGAGGTGCTCATGGCTGCTTCTCACCAGCTGGTTTGAGGGCGCTGCGGTGGTCTCTGCCTTCGGGCTTCAAGGTGATTCATTTTCCAGGGTCACCCAGTGGGCTCTGCACCCTGCCCCCTAGAGCAAATGTTTTTAAGTAAGTTCATTTTCCAGTGCAGCGTCTGGCTGCATTTGGTTTTCAACTTCTCTTCGTGAATTGATTTGCCTCTGAAGCATCATAAAGGAGGCTTGGCTAGAGGCAGTGTTGACGCGCCTGAGATAGAAGTTAATGCGCAAGAAAGACACTTGTTCTTGTCCTGTCCCTTTAGGTCGTTAGATTTTCTACCAGGTTCCATCGGAGAAGTGGAGAATAAGGCTTTTAATTGTTAAAGACTGAAGTTCTTATTCCGAGAATTTCTTTAAAACACGGAGGGTACAGTACAAAAGAGCTTTCTCCGAATGGTCCTTCCCTGATGCGCATTGTCCTTAGGGCATTTCACATTCCTCCTCATTACCACACTTTCTCAAAAGCTGGTGGAGCACTGCATTAATATTTAAAGAAACCAATGGACGGACTTCATTTATCTCCTAGGTGCAAGGGCGCAGCCAAGAGAGAGACAGACACGATGGACACCTTTGTGGATTCCGCCTGGTACTACTTCAGATACACCGACCCTCGGAACACGCACAGGTAAGCCCTGCCCGAATCTCAGCACATGTCCACCGCCGGGTCTTCCAGAAGCACAGCCACATGGATTCGATGTGCAGGACATTACTTGGGGGAAGTGCCTATGAGGAGTGAAGGGCGAGGGAGCAGGAGTCGCAGGGAGCGCCCTTCGACCGTGGAGCTGGTCCCACACCTGGGAAGGGACCCAGGGAAGTAGGGGACTGGTAGGAAGAGCCTCAGACCACAGTGCAGCTCTGAGGAGGTCTCGGCCAGGCCAACAGGATGCCTCGTGCAAAGCTTGCCCATTGGAGAGTCCCAGGTCGGGCAGAGAGGACTCTGCCCTGGTCCTGGCACAGCATGGACACCAAGTGGATTTATTTTTTTTGACATATATATTTTTTTTATTGATTTCAGAGAGGAAGGGAGAGGGGGAGAGAGATACAAACATCAGTGATGAGCGAGAATCATTGATTGGCTGCCTCCTGCACACCCCACACCTGGGATCGAGCCTGCAACCTGGGCATGTGTCCTAAGCGGGAATCGCACTGTGACCTCCTGGTTCATAGGTCCACGCTTAGCCACTGAGCCACGCCAGCCGGGCCCGAGTGGATTTACAGATGGACCTGCTGGGAGCTGTTGGTCACTCTGCTTCTTGAAGCAGATTTTGTCAAGGGAGCCTGTTAGATGATTGAATTAGATTATTCGTGGCCAAGTTAGTCCCAAGTACAGGAAAGATAAAGCACAGAGGAAGGAAGGAAGTGCTGGAGGCGTGCCCCCTTGGCCCCGCACTGGCCTGCATTTATGCGATTATAAAGCTCTAATGTCATTTACTCGACTGAAAATAATGATGGAACTATGCAGGGAGGGCAGGAGGGAGGGAGTATGAGAGCTAAGAAACATCATCTCTTATCACACACTGTCAACGATTAAAATCTAAAACTGATAAATCAATGAAGAGTATGCACATATTTTTAATAATTGCCAGAAGAAACAGCTAAGGGAGCAAACGTGGCTGAGGAATGGGCGGGTGTGCGGGGAGAAGGGGTCAGTGAAGGGATGGGGCCGGAGAGCACTGCTCTGAATGTCAAACCCTTCGGTGCTGTTTGCTTTTTATCTGTGTGCCTGTGTTCCCTTGAAAAAACAGATAAATGAGGGAAAGAGCACAGGAGGTGGATAAGTAGAGAGAGAATGAAAACAAAAGAAAGCTATCGCGGAGCACAAGAAAAACTACAAAAAAACTGTGCTCAGAGGCCTTGCCAGCTCGCTCTTGTCTGCAGGAGAACAATTACTCTGAAACCCGTAGCCCATGTATAAAAAGGCCCCTTTTTATAATATTCCAGTGAGACGGGCGCCCCTGCGCTCCCCGCCCCGCCCGGCATTGCGATTCTGGCTTTGATTTGGGCCAGGTGAGGGGGGCCCAGAGTAACCAGCAAAGACAGAAAGGGTGCAGGGTGACTGCTGAGGCTGGGAACTGCCAGGGTGGCCCCGGCTCTCCCACGAGGGGCCCTCTCCTGGGTCTTCCTTCTAGAAGGCTCTGTGGTGCACCCACCTGGTAACAGCCGGCTGATGCCGGATGCAGGCTGTGCACCTCTCAGAGCTGCAGGGAGCAGCTTCTCACAGGTGAGGGAGACTGTAGATGACAGCGGTGGGACCCTCCTGCCCGGAGGAGAAAGGCAGTCCTGGGCCCTCACAGCCCCCATCCGGGATGCCAGGAGCTCATTTCCTTCCCCACGTCGGCCGCTCATTTCAGCGCCGGCTTGGGCCTCGCTCGGTGGTTTCGGGCAGATCGCAGATCCGAGCTGTAGCTGCTTTCAGCACCTCAGTCCTTAGTTGATCCCAAACTCGTTTGGGGCCAAGTACCATCTCGACTTCCCTTTCTCGTCTATCACCTGGAGCAGCAGTTGGATTTCTCTGGGGAACCATTTTTCACAAAGAAAAACATTTTTTTAAAATTTTACTAGAATTCTGGCAGAGTGACTGGAGGAGAGACCAAGCTGCAGTAAGATGCTAACGCGTGGTGGTTGGACAGGCTCACCTGCTTAGCAACAGGAGCCAGCGCCAGCCGGGTCCACGCTGCGGGGAGAGGCGTGGGGGAGGGAACTCAGATACTTGAAATCATGGAGTACACCCCCTGCAAAGGCAGAAGTATGCTGTGTACTGCGCTGATGGCCTCAGTGAGGGCAGTCCCTGGGAATGAAGAGGTCTGCCCCCAGCCAGCACTGCCCCCCAACACATGTGCACGCATACACACACCTTTGCACACACACACATCTCTGCACACACAGACACCTCTGCACACACAGACACCTCTGCACACACACACACTTCTGCACACTCACACACACCTCTGCGCGCACACACACACACCTCTGCACACTCACACACATCTGCACACACACACACCTGCTCACACACAC